AGGGATCAAACTCAGGACCTTGCACTTGCAAGGCAGGCAGCAGAACCACTGAGCTAAATCCCTGGCCCTGGCTGGCACTTTAATAGTAAGTGAAATAGCACTCCCTAAAGAACTTTATTTTACAATCAGGGTAGGGTTGAGTAAATATCTCTATTTTGAAATTGAATAACAAAACACCAGGACATCCTTAAATGTCTTTTTACTGTTTGCCTATATTCAGCTATTTCAAATTCTATTAAATTTTCCTTCAAAATATGTTTTTTACCTTCAGTGTTTTCCTATTGCTTATAAGATTAAATCCAGACTCTTCTATTTGACTTCCAAAACCTTCTATAATCTATTTTTTGGGGGGTGCAAGATTTAATAAAAAGCAAACAAAAATAGGAATGCTTGCTTTCCACATTTTCCATGTTGTGAGAGTGTGCCAGGACTGTCTGGGGTGTGATTCTAAACAGCCTTAGTGGAGCAAATACAAAATGCTGTCCTCTTCCCAGTCAAAAGGTGGTGCACACTGGCTACACACCCGCCTAGCCCTCCATAATCTTGTGTTCACTGCTGGACAGCAAAACTGTTCCACTACAGACAAAAGCTAAGCCCATTCAGTCTGTCTCCCACCATAGTATTGTTTTGGTCATCACATAAATGCTGTGTCGTGCCTTTTTCCATCTACTTAAATATTGAGTATTCTTTGAGATTAAATTTAATTCCCCATTCACACTGAATCTATTCCATTTGACTTTTTGCTTTAAGTCTTTATTTAGCAATTGATTAAATATACCTTTTATACCTAGTTATATAATTTCCTAAGTATTCTATTTCCACCTCTTCAACAACCACACAGAGTACTTACATTCATAAAGTGGCAGCATTTTCAAGGACAAAATGACTTTTAGAAATGAAAAGTTGGGTTTTGATCTTGTTACAGTCAGTGACTACCTATCTGCATTTAGGGAAGTAATTATACAGCATTCTCCATCGTTTCATCCCATATCTATTCCACAGATTTGGGATTGCACAGAACGGATAAACATAATCATAGCTGCTTTTTAAGTGCAAGGCATTTTTACATTTAATATATTACTGTCTCTTTTTGTACTCTTAGTGATTTAACAATGCTAACTGTGTATGTGTTGTCTTAGAATTATGAGGAAGTGGTTAGTTGGGCATTGGCGATGGTTCTTTCCTGGCCTTAACTAGCGTCTAAAATTGCAGAGTGCTAAGGCTGGAAAAGACCTTAAAGCTTGACCATCCAACTTCCTTGTTATCCAAAGGAGGAAACTGAGACACTCTGAATTAAGTAAGTGACTTTCCCCAAACAAAATTGGAACTCATATGATTAATTTCTGTCATAATATTCTACCACTTTCCTCTGGCTAGTTTTTGAAGACTTGTATTACTAAAATGTTTTGTTTCAAAGAATAAATCGCTACTGCATACTCCTGGGAGGATCTTTCTGAGGTTGTTATAATTCTTTTTTTTAAAAAATCAGTCCTGAGAATATTAGATGAAATGTTCAAAGCATTTTTACCCATTGAGAATTATAATTTTCATTGAGAAGAGTTGAGAGAACAGAAGAACATGGATAAGAAAGGATACAAAAAAAGCTGAGGGCGGTGAAAGGGACGAACACAGCACTTGTGATCAGAGTGCAGTAATGGCGAACCTTTTAGAGCTTTCAGTGATATGAACAGCCCACTGCAGCATGTGTGCCATAGGTTTGCCACCACTATCATAGTGTATTGAGAACTAACAAAACATCGTAAGGAAAAAACAAATGAAGAATTCAAAATAAACACATGAAATAAGCTATTAGGAAAAAGAATATTAGAGAAATTATTCTAGTTTTTTAAAATCTGTTTTCAAGTTTCCATTATTTTCTGTTTTGTATGTGTATGTGTGGGTGGTTTTTGCAGGGGGGCTGTTTTGTTTTGGGGTTTTGGGGGGTTTTTTTTGAGACAAGGTCTCGCTATATAGTTCAGGCTGGCCTTGAACTCATGATGTAGGCTGGCCTTGAATTTACTGTGATCCTCTAGCATCAGCCTTCTGAATACTGGGATTACAGGCATGTACCACACCACACCCAGCTCTCATTGTCTTTTAAATAGAAAAATTTTAAAACAGGAAAAAAAATTCTAATAGTCCTTTCTACACTGTCATCATGGCAAGAAGGTTTATCATACCAAAGATGTATTCATTTAACATTTATTGAGCTCCTACTATGTAGTAAGCTCTTCCCAGATGTTGGGGAAGGAAGGATAAGTCATTATCTAAAGAGGCTCAGATTAAAGCTAGGCAGACCTAGTTGTAATTGAGGTAATATAAATTCAGGGTAGTAAGAACTATTTCAGAAGCATGAACAGGAGGTGAGGGGAGGGGAAGGGAGAGTCCCAGAATGGCTAGTTTGGGAAGGAGGAGTCAAGGAAGTCTTCCTAGAGAACATATTTAAGCTGAGATTTAAAAGATAAAGGATGTCAAAGGGTTTGGTAGGGGAAAAAAAGCAGAGAAAGTTCTGGCCTGGCAGCAGTATGGAGAAGGGGAGAGTAGAAACAGGAAAACTAAGTACGTGTTAAATGGAAGATGTCAGGAGCAATGAGGCTGGATTTAAAACAGCGCTAGTATGTATCTGGTGAGGAAAAGGTTAGACAAAGGAGTCAAGAATGACTATCAGGTTTTGGAAGAAGTTATTTGGACATGCCTCAAAAGGTAATCTGGAGGGCTGGGGATTTAGCTCAGTGGCATCTCGTCAGCCTTGCAGGCCCAAGGTCCTGAGTTTGATTCCCGGCACCAAAAAATGAAAGGTAATCTGGAGCCAGAAGTTGACATTTGCAAGTTATATATCCTCCAGTAACTACTACCCTCACTTTATAGCTAGTCTTCCTGAAAGAATAGTTTGTAATCACTGTCTTTACTTTCCCCCCTCCCATTCTGTTCTTGATCTTTGTTGACCTCCACTTTACACAAACAGGTAACCAATGACCAAACCTTCCTAATGGCCACCATCAAGCATGGATTATGGGGTCTGCAGCTTCTGATTTCAAGCAGCCTCCTCCTAAAACTTTCTCCCTTGGCTTCCATGTCACATCTCTCTTCAAGTAGCAAAGCTGAACTCAATATTTTCATCTCAAGCTGTTTTTCTTTCTCTCTATTCTTAGTTCAAGGAGTAACCACTGAACAAGTTCTCAAGCCAGAAATTTAGAAGTGATCTTTCTTAGTTCCTCTTCTTCCATTGGACCCACAATCAATCAGCCAAAAAGCATCTTGCTGTTTAGTATCTCTTGTATCCACTACCTTACTTTTATAGCCCTATCAACTCCTAATGATTAAAATTGCACCTGTCTGCTGTCCAGTTCTGCCCAGTAGAATCTGTTCTCTATAGCGCTATCATACTGAGCTCTTTAAAAATAAATTTAAACCAGGCATAGTGGCACATGCCTGTAATCCCAACACTTGGGAGGCTGAGGCAGAGGGATCGACACAAGTTCAAGGCTAGCCTTGGCTACAGAGTGAGTTCTAGGCCAGCATAAACTACATGGAGAGACCTTGTCTCAAAAATAAATAAATACATAAAAATAAACTTAAATGTCTTTATTCTATTTAAATTGTCATTTTTATTAGCAAAAAAGAAGTTAAACTATTTTAGCCTGCCTTAGGGCTTTTATAATCTCACTCTCCTTCCCAGGCTTTCATCAAAGGAATTACATTACAAGTTGCATTTCTGTGAGTTGAATTAGGCAATAATAATAATAATAATAATAAACCTAGTAAATAAAATAGTCTTACCTTATACAAAAAGTGGAAAAATGTGAATTCTTTCTAATTAAATAGTTTATCTAGAATAAAATTTCAAAGTTGGTAAGACAAATGAGTTGTAAACTGTTAACACTCTTGGCACATGGAAATGTCTCCTACCTGGTAGAATTATCTTTCTCATGTCAGTATTGTGTAAGTGTTCTTGAGTCATACAGGTTATTACTGTGCTTTTTTTTTTCTTAGACAGGGTCTTCCTATATACTTCAGGTTGGCCTTGAACTCACCATGTAGCCCAGCCTGGCCTTGAACTCACAGTGATCCTCTTGTCTCAGCCTCCCAAATCCTGGGATTACAGGCATGCGCCACTAAGCCCAGCTTGTGCTATTTTTCAACATAATTTTAAATATTTTTCTACCTGATAACAATGTCATCAAGTGTTAAGGGGTTTTATTACCATTTATGCTAGAAAGCATTTCCAATATAAAAGTTGTAACAGGGCCAGGGATTTAGCTCAGTGGCACCGCACCAGCCTCGCAAATGCAAGGTCCTGAGTTTGATCCCCGATACCGAAAAAAAAAAAAAGGGTGTAACAAAAGTTAGATGTGGAAAAACAATATTAAAAAGCCCAAGTACCAGCCAAGCATAGTGGCACATGCTTGTGATACCATAATTCTGGAAGACTGAGGCAGAAGGATTGCAAGTTTGTGCCCACCCTGGAAAACCTAGCAAGACTTTGTCTCAAAAAATAAAAAAAGGACTAGTGACGTAGCTCAGTGAGAAGGCCCAGTACCACAAAAAACAAAGAGGCCAAGTAGCACCATTATATGTTGTGTGGGGAGAATACTCTACATAATACTACTGAGAAAATGGAAAAGAAGAAAGCAAGTATAAGGCCAGATATGGTGGCGCACACCTGTAATCCCATCACTCAAGAGGCTGAGGCAGGAGGATTGCAGCAAGTTTGAGGCCAGCCTGGGATACATAGTGAGTTCAAGGCCAGCCTGAATTGCACAGTGAGATCTTGTCTCAAAAAACCAAAAGAAACAAAAAAATAAGTATATATTTTGGTGGTTGTAAATTGATGTTTTCCAAGAATATCTCCTACCGTGCCTTTGCATTTATTCCCAGGGAACAAATAATCTTGACCTATGTGAAATCCTCAGAAATGCATCTGAAGCAGGAGAAAATGAATACCTGGATAGAACACTCTGACACACAAAATAGGCATTAATGCTGGCGGCTTAAAAGGAACTCGTGTCACCTCGTGAGCCCCGGATAGAAGTTTGCTCTTCTCTATATACCTCTTTTTACATCTATGGGGCTTAATTCCATTGGCGTTTCCCTGGGAATATAAGAAGCAGGATTTACACAAAGCAGAGCCGCGGGGTGAGGAGGAGCAAAGAATTCTGGCAGGACTTTCTGAGTCCATTCCACTCCTCTGGTGACAGATTACAGACATTGTCATGGTTACTCTGGTGCATTCTACAAAGAGCATAGTTACCCAGTTAATCCATGGTTGCCCAATAACACAGTTAACCCATAGTTTCCCAATTCAATATGGAGGGTTGGTTTCCTTTCTCATATCCTTTCTGAAAAATATAATTGTCTTACTTCAGGTAAAAATGAGAAGGCCTCAGGCAACCGATATACCTTTCAGCCTCCTGCTTCCTGGCCTTTGGCCAAGTTGTTCCTTCTCTGTGATGACTCTCCCCTGGCTTTGAAAATGTTGCCCCTCTTTCATCACCATACATTCACCACTTCATCTGAGGCTTCTCTCATAGTAGAGAGGATCTCTTACATATCCAGCTTCATACCATTCCTTATATTATTTTTGTCCCTCTCACTAGTGGCTGGGTCACTGCAAGATAAGAACTAAGTTTCACTCTCACGTACTTTGCCAGCTCCCAGTAGGCCCCACCACACTGGGGACCAAGCCTGAACATGAATTGTGAGGACAAACCATAATAACCAGTAGCAACTGTGACTCAACCATTTTCCTTGGAACCCCAACCATAACTGCCTTCAGGGACCCAAGATACTGATGCACTCTAGAGGAGGGCTTCCTGGTCATTTTTGTAGTGTGGAGTTCAGACTTTCTCTCTGATGTTTCAGTATTTAAGTAAGCTGAATTAAAGTGTCAGTAGACATATTCACAGGAGAAAAAGCCCTACAGAACGTGAAATCTCAAAGGGCCAGACAGTTGAAGCTTGAACATAGAGGAGAGGGAAGTGGAGGGTAGAGGCAATTTTAGAGGGGCAATAAATTATGGACCCAGAAATTAGACAAGGTCCTAGGATAAAGTTCCTCTTGTTTCTAGGCATGGTGTTTAGTTTTCATTCTCTGCGTCTTATGTGAGTTCAATCCTTCTTGGCTAATGAAATTTCAGTAATAATATTGAAGACAATTATGTTCCTCTTTGGTGAATCCAGACTTTGCAGATAAGGGAACTTCAAGGAATGTTCCTTCCTTCACTTCAGAAGCGAAATATGATCAAAAGAAAGCAGCAGCAGGGTCAGGGATATAGCTCAGTGGCACGGTGCCTGCCTCATGAGTACAAGGTCCTGAGTTCCATCCCTGGTACCAGAAAGAAAAAAAAAAAAAAGCAGCAGTGCTGGGGCGGGGTGGGGTGGGGTGGGGGGTGTATTAGAGACACCCTCAGCCTGCTTTAGTTCATTGTGTCAAAACACCATACTTTTGGGTGTATCAGTTCTCCACAATGTATATAATCATTATGAACTGCCAACATATACAAATAAAAATTTTAAAGTAAAAATGAAAAAGGTAGCAATAAAAGATTGTTTTTATCTATGAGGTGTGATCAAAATATATGGTGAGTGTTTAAATTTTTTTTAATGTATTACAATAAAATATGGATTGCTATTAATCTCTCTCAAAATACTCCCCCTCGATTTGAACACTCTTATCCCATCACTTTTGCCACCTTCTGAAGCAGTTCTGAAAGTTCTCTTTCATGAAGGTCTTTATGAGCTGTGATAAATAATATGGTGAATGCTGCTGCCAAGTGCCATCCCATGCAAAGACAGGTTTGTAAAAACATTACAGTATGTCCTCACCCACTTTATTCACTGGATTTAGCACTGTGTGGCTTCTGGCTCTTCCTTAAAGTCAAATGATCATGATCATAAATGTTTTGAATTGATTCAGGACATCAAGGCCTCCATGACTACACAACCAATGACGTGAGAAAGGATTTCCAGAACTGCTTTAGACAGTTGTAGTAACAATAGGACAAGTGTGTTCAAACTGAGGGGGAATATTTTGAGGGGGATTAATGTTAATATGTCGTTTATTATTACAAATTTTTTAAAAGGTAAGCATTCACCATATTTTTCAATCACACCTTGTTAAAAAGAACAAACATTGTCTTCTTTGCTTTCATTAGGAATGATGATGGCTGTTTCTGTCTCAGAAAATGATTGCATCAACTTTGTGGAAATGAAATTTATTGACAATATACTTTACTTTATACGTAAGTCTGAAGCAATAGTAGGACGAATACAGGGCTTAGATAAATATATTCAATTAGAAAAGGGTTGTGTGGTGAACTATTAAGTGACTCCTTTTTGTCACCAAATTCTATTATAATATTAATGACTGTCCTTGGGAGAAAAAAATTGAACCTCAAATTAACCATAACATTTCCAAGATCCCAGACTTTGTCCCTGCACATTGTCTTGGTACTTAAATTAGCAGTTGCTCATCTCAATGTAGCAGCAGGTATACACCACGAAAATCCTACAAAACTAGATACATTGAGAAAATAGTAGTCTTCAAAGCAAATTGGCAAATTGTATGAGATACGCTAAAGCTAGGGTTCTGTGAGTGAGTTATATCATTTATGTAAATGCATCTGACAAATAAAAATTGATTCTTATGATTAATCTTTGACGGACAACTTGGCTTCATTTGAAAGCATCATAAAAAGTCCTTAAGTGACCTCCTATGTAGGCAATAAATGTAAGAGTAAAATCTATCACTTGACAAAATTTCTTTCTGTATTAAAATTTATAAACCCTGGATTTAAGTTTTATACTAACTTATCTGAGAACATACTAAATCTAAAGAGTTTCATTTTACAGACCTTTGGATGATTATGTAACATTTTCTGATAAAGGCTAATAAAGGACCTAACCACTGAAACAGGGGTTAAAGAATGGGAAGTGGCAGAACAAAGTAGTGAAAACATAGAAAAAAGAGGAAATTCTGGCTTGAAATATATATTAATATATTTTTTTCTCTTTTTTTCTCCCATAGCTGAAAATGATGGTAAAGTATAAAAGCATTTTTCTTTCTTTATAAAGTAGCTACATGAGACACATCCATATTGCCACTATCAACTGGGAGAAACTGTCCACATGACACCAACCTATTTGGGAAACCAGTTTTCCATCAAAAGAACATGGACTCAATAACACAGCATTGGAATGAAGATGACCATATGGGTTATGAAGAAGAAACTCTATAAATTTGCTTTCCCCGTACTTTAGGAAGCTGTCTAGCTTGCAGATGCTACAAATTAGACCTTGCCTATTATGTAGGTCTAAGATGAGCAGGAAGCCATGGGTTCTCTGGAGATCTAGGAAGACACTGATGTATGAGAATTGTCCAAAATTAATATCTCCCTTCTCTTCACTCCTGTCTCAGAAATGCTTTGGAACAAAGCCTGAGAGGCTCCTATAGGCAGAGTATTCTGAAAGTCAAGGACATAGGGATGGGATTGAAAGCCAAGATACAAAAGGAAGCATGGAATGTATGAGGAACTAAGAGTAATATGGGATGGGAGTAGAGGGAGGGGAGGAGGAGAATGATAAGAGAAGCTAGAGTGATAAATAGGGTACAGATCACTACTCTTATTCCAAGATAAGGTATTTGGGCCTTATCTTGGGAGTAATAGGAATTTGCTAAGCGTAGTATGTCTGAGCTAGGATACAGATTAGGTTGCTATAACAAAGATATCTAATAACTGAGTAAGATAGAAAATTTCTCTCTCCAGTAGTCCAAGTAAGCAGTCAGGATGAATATGGCTGGTGACATTAGAATCTCACGATTCTTCTGCTTTCTTGTTACTCCATCATTCCCTAGTTGTTAAACTCATTCACATAGTTGAAAATCATCATACTTCCTGGATCTTTGTCTCAGTTTTCAAGAAAGGGTCAAGAGAAGAGGAAAACAGACTCATTCCATTTAAAGTCTCTACTTGGAAGTTGTACATATCTAGTCTGTTCATATCCTGTTGACTAGTCACGTGGCCAACTGCAAGGAAATTTGGAAAATATAATTTTTATTCTGGGTGGCTATGTGTCTCATTAGAATTCAGGGATAACATGATAATATTTTTTAAAAGATTCCTGTGGCATCAGTATAAAGAACTGATGGTTGGGCCGGGGATTTAGCTCAGTGGTTCTGCACCTGCCTCACAAGCACAAGGTCCTGAGTTTGATCCCCAGTATTGAAAAAAAAAAGAAAAAAGAATTGACGGCACAAGGTAAGGAATGAGGCGACCAAAAAAAAAAAGGGGATACCCATTAAGAGACTATTATTTTAGCTGGGCATGGTGGTTCGTGCCTGTAATCCCAGCACTTGGGAGGCTGAGGAGAGAGAGGCTGAGGCAGGAGGATCACTGAGTTCAAGGCCAGTCTGAACTACATAGTGAGACCCTGTCTCAAAAAACAATAACAACAACAAAGAGTGACTTATTTTAGTCCCTATAAGAAATGATGTGGGGGGATCATGAGGAGCTGTGGATTGATTATAGAAATACTCAAAAGAATCAATAGGATATGATTTGGAAGACAGTGTAGAAGAAAGCATAAAAGAAGATGTCTACATTTTTCACTTATCACAGTTTGTACCACTCAGTGGAATAAGAGACAGGAGGAAAAGCAAGTTTTCATATGTAAAGAGAACAACAGGTGATAAATTTAGTTTAGAATCTTGAGACATTGAAGTGGAGATACCCAGTAAATTCTTGGACACACGGTTCTGAGCTCAGGACAGATTTTGACTGAAGATATATGTAAAGGCTCGTGCATAAAAATGGTATCTGAAGCTGTGGGAATGAAAAGACAGGAAATATATAAAGTGAGAAATAAAAAGCCCAGGACTAAACCCAAAAATACCTACAGTTAATGCAGTAGAAAGGAAAGTTTAAAAAAAGAAAAAAAAAAACAGAGTAGACTCACCAGAGGGAAGAAGAAAAAGCGAGAATATTACTACAGATTCCCAGGACAGCATTTCAAGAAGTAAAAGGTTCTGTGTTGAATCTTGCCACCTTGAAATTCAAGAGCCAGAAAGCATCTATTAGCAGCAAGGAGTTGGGCAGTCTCAGTGAAAGGATTTTGATGGAGAAATGGAGGCAGAGGCAGACTGCAGTACTAGTAAAGGGAGAAGCTGTACAGGTGATTTTTGCCCAGAAACTTTGCAAATAAAAGAGGGAAACAAGACTATGCACTACGATAGGGTTCATGGAAGAATTTCAAAGAGCTTCATGCTTTTCTGGTTATAAAAACTTCCTCACTGAAATTAATTCAGACATAGATTATAATAACATGAAAAATAAAAGCATAATGACAGCTATCATTTTGATGTAATATTTATATATGTATATCTATAGCCATGCAAATACTTATATTTTTGTTAAAAAGGATCATGCTATACCTAAACTTTTTTCTAGTTAGCTATGTATTGGACATCTTTCTGTGGCAGTTAATAATTGCAGTTATATTAAATTCTTAATATTCCATAGTAATGGCATATCAAAATTCATTTAATCAATCCTCAACTTACAGACAGTTGTTTCTACTTTGCTCCTTTCTTTTTTTTTTTTTTTTTTTTGGTACAGGGGATCAAACTTGGGTCCTTGCTCTTGTGAGGCAGGTGGAGGAACCACTGAGCTAAATCCCCAGCCCCTGCTTCTATTATTAATAGTGCATCCTTAAGCATTTTTTTTTATCCTTAGGCATTCTTGATAAAAAACATTTGCACATGTATCTGATTGTTTCTTTAGGGTAAAATCCAGGGAGGAGAATTGCTGGGTTGATAGGAGAAAAGGGATGGATGGCAAAACAAGGTCTTAATAGAGGATACATTCAGAGGACAAATGGGATGACCCTTAGATAACCAAAAGGGATACCTTTTCTACATTTCCCTTTAGGAAGAGAAACTTAAAGGAAATAATTTATGATGCCACAGTTAGGTTTGCAAGTGGAATAGCAAAAAATAATTTGCTGCCAGGGGTGGTGGCACATGCCTATAATCCCTGCTCTCAGAAGGACAAGGAGGGGGCACTGCCATGAGTTCGAGGCCAGCCTGAACTGCATAGTGAGACCCTGTCTCAAAAAAAAATAATAATAATTTGTTGAAAATGAAAGTAGAGGGCCAGGGACCTGAGTTTGATCCCCGGTACCAAAAAAAAAAAAGAAAGGAGATAATGGTGTAGGGGTCCTGAAGAAAAGGAGACTTGAAATAACAGCTACAAACTGGAAGAGAGTCATGAATGGAAAATGGTATTGACAGTTGATGTGCCTATAATGGCACCAGTTTTAGCATTCATATGATTGCTGATCCAGCAACACTCAGCAGCCAGGTTTGGAATTTTATCCTGGACAGATAAATGAGTTAGGGATTTAAGATACTGACAGATAAAATGAACCATGAGGTTCAGTTGCATAGGGAAGGAAGGGAAGATAGATTATCTAGGGAGGAAATGCAAAAGTCTGGAGATTAAAAGACAGTGAAGTCTAAGAACCTGTATAGCTGGAGTAAAAGCTAAGAAAACTAAAACTAGGAGACTGGTCAGAAAGGATATTTGAAGTAAACATTTCCGAGGTAGAGTAGTTCTGAGCGGTAACAAGAAATAGAGCATGCCCTTGGAAGCTGGTTAAAAAAACAGTAGGCAACTTGATCATAGTTGCTTCAGGAAAAGAAGATTGTAATTAATAGCTATTTTTTTTCTTATTTTTGGTACCAGGGATCGAACTTGGGACCTTGGTGCTTGTGAGGCAGGTGGTGGAACCACTGAGCTAAATCCCCGGCCCAGTTGATAGCTATTTAAAACTGAACTCTATAGTTGTCTATTTGTGTATTTTGAAAGAAACATTTATTTTATTTTTTTGGTATCAGAGATCGAACTCGGGACCTTGAGCTTGCGAGAAACTTATTTTTAATGAAATTTAATGTTTATTATAGAAAACCTGGAATCAGATTACTTTGGCAAACTTGTACCTAAATTGTCAGTCATACGAAATTTGAAAAACCAAGTCCTCATTGTCGACCGTGAGAAGAAACCTGTGTTTGAGGATATGCCTGATGCTGACATTGCAGGTGTGGTTTTTTTCATATTTATACATGTACATTCATAGATAACTAGTTACTTCTTTCTGTTCCATTTTACTGCCTACACTTTTCTATATCAGACCCAATACCTGGATGAAAAATCACAGGCAGAATAATTTCATTTTAAAAAACTTTATAAGTGTCCATAGTCTTTAGTTGGAGTAAAAAAATTAGATCTAATAAAGATATTTCTAGAGGTCATGTCACTATGAACCTACATTTGGATCACCAATCCCTTTATTTTCACTGCATTAACTGTATATGATCTCTAGAGTTGGATTCTTAATCTCTGCTGGTTATAGCTGAAAATACTGATAAAAATTTTAAAACCCACAATTAATAATAAATACACACCAAGGTCCCAAGTTCGATCCCTGGTACCAAAAAATAATAATAATAAATACACAATATTTCAAATGAGTCTGCCTTCCTCCAGAAATTAGGATGTCTTAGAAAATGAGTAAGTAGCCAGGGATTTAGCTCAGTGATTCTGCCGCCTGCCTCAGAAGCACAAAGTCTCGAGTTCAATCCCCGGTACCAAAAAAACCCAAAAAATATTTTTCACACACTCAAAAATTTTCTGCATGTATGTTGTAACACACAAATATGTTTTAAAGAATGTCCAGCAAGCTACACATAATCTCCTTCTTCTGTCCAGCCAAATAAATCTCAGAGTGTGAGATTGGCAGGAAGTATATTAAGGACTATACTTTGGTTAAATTTCCACACATGTTGACTTGCAAAAATTCTCCTAACTAGTGGTCTCACTTGTTAATGTTTATTTTAGATAATGCACCTCAGACTACATTTAACAAATATACATATACCGATAGCCGTGGTAGAGGTATGGCTATAGTCATCTCTGTGATGTGTAACGGAAACCATACTCTCTCCTGTGAGGACAAAACCATTTCCTTTAAGGTAAGACTGAGCCTTACTTTGCCTTCATTCAAATTAATGGAAAAAATTAGAAAACCCAGTATCTTCAGTAGTTCAGTCTTTTAACTAGAGCAGAGCAAGAAACAAAAGACCATAGAAATGGATAGTTATGAAAAATCTTCAAACTCTTTAACCTACTGTAGTAACATGATTTTTCTCAGCCTGTTGCAGGCCAGAAAGAGCACAACACTTGTCACATAACCTAAGTCTGCTGAATAATAAATCTATATATAAATAATAGTATAGGATATATATGTAAATTCTGTATTTAATAGCATGTGACTTTCCAGAACAAGTCCTCTATGTAGAATAAAGTTAATTGTCCTATAAATCTGTTACTTTGTAAATTGTAATATTTTAATCCCTAATTGTTTTGTTCTTGCTTCTTAACCTGTCTTAGCCACATCCTTCAGACTTCAGTTGATGTGTATTATTAATAACATTAATCTAATGAAATAAAATTAAGAACAGCTATAAAAATAATGCCTTTTCAGAGATAATTATAAATTATTTTGGCCACTACTTTTTTCTCTTTTATTTTCTATTTTCTGCATTATCATTAGATAAAACCATTAACTATATCTACAGACTGAACCAGAATACTTCCTCCCAGTGAGAGCAGCCAGGGGAATGCCCACAAATTGACAAAGTTTACAAGGAGAATCTCATGTGATGGAGATTATTTCTGAGCAGGGATTTGCCAATTAGGAACTAATGTCTGAATCACCATCCCTCACTGAAAGGAAACTGGGGTATGACTTCAGTGGAGAGACCAAGCAACAACAAAAGCCACTCTAAAATATTAGTCTCCATTGCATTAATTTCTGCTCTGATCTTTATAATTTCCTCTCTTGCACGAGTTTTGGGTTTGACTTTTCTTTTTCTAGAAGCTTGAGGTTCAACATTAGGTTATTTGAGCTCACTCTGCTTTTCTCATATGAGAATTCACCACTATAAATTTCCCTCATAGGACTGCTTTCATTGTGTCCCATAAGTTCCAGTATGTTGTACTGGCATTATTATTTAATTGTAGAAACTGTCTAATTTCTTCTTTAATTTCATCAGTGACCATTGATTGTTCAAGAGGGTGTCATTTAATTTCCATGTGTATGAATTTCTTGTGTTTTCTTTTGCCATTGATTTCCAATTTCATTACACTGTGGCCTGATAATATGCATGGGATAATTTCAACTCCTTTGCATTTATTTAAGTATGTTCTATGAGCTAGTATGTGGTCTATTTTAGAGAACATCCCATGTGCAGCTGAGAAGAATGTGTATTCTGATGTTGTGGGGTAGAACACTGTAGACATCTACTACTAAATACATTTGTTCAAAAGTTTGGTTCAGTTCTGATATTTCTTTGTTGATTTTTTTGTCTAGTTGATCTATCTGTGACAGTAGGATATTGAGGTTCCCCATTACAACTGTATTACTGCTTATTTGATTTTTCATGTCAGTTAGTATTTGTTTTACATAGTTGGGTGTGCTAGTATTTAGTGCATATCTATTTATGATTGTCATCTCTTCCTCTTGGATTGTTCCCTTTACAAGGATGTAGTGACCTTCTTTGTCTTTATCAGTCTTAAAACCACTCTAAAATATAATCCAAGTAATAACAGTACAAATACAACAGATACAGCCTCCAGGCAAATCTCTTTGCTCTTTCCTTCTAACTTGGGTACCAACCCTTCAGGGTGTAATTTGGAGTCCCTGTTCTAGACCTGATAGGCTGGAAGTTTAGTTGGGAGAGATAGTGAGTGTCAAGCAGGTTGAGATCATGCATGGACAATTCTAGGAATTGGAACAAATCCAGATTTAGGGCAGCCTGAAGCTTATATAATTTTGGTGACCCTTTCATTTTTTTTTTATTTTATTTTATTTGGTACTGGGGATCGAACTCAGGACCTTGCGCTTGTGAGGCAGGCAGTGGAACCACTGAGCTAAATCCCCAGCCTAGGTGACTCTTTTAAAGAAAGACAACATAAAATTACCAGAGGCATAAACTCTACAACTTACTTGGAATTTTTTAAAAGAGGGCCTTAGAAGAGACCTATGAAAGTGAGTGGTCCTGACACTGGAGATTAATCAGCTTTATAGCAAATCTACTTCTAGAAAGAACTCAGTAAATATTATTTGGATAAATGGAAAGAAAAGAATAAGGAAGGAAGGGGGAGGGAGGGAGAAGGAAAGGAGGCATAGCTTAAGACTGGTATTAGCTCCTGCTCTTCAACCCTTTTCCTCTACAAATAAGAAATCTTAGCAATGGTTACCTTAGACTAGGTTCTAGATGGTAAGACACAACTCACTGCCACTTTGTGCTCACCTTTTTTTTTTTTTATACCGGGGATTGAACTCAGAACCCTGCGCTTGCAAGACAGGCGGCAGCACCACTGAGCTAAATTCCCGACCCTGTGCTCACCTTTCTGTGTTAATTACTAGTGATAAATTGTTTGGGCAAGAGCCACTACAACATGAAGAAGGCTTTGCTTCCAGAGGTTACTGTCAGTGGCTGTTGCTCACATGTGCATCAGGCTTGGCCAAGGTTCTCCCAAGCTTTGTAATCCAATTGGGAGAGGGCCAAAAGAGCATATTAAGTCAAGCTTAATTCTCCCTGAGTCCAGATTCAACCCTTCCTCATGTAAAGAATCCTTGGTCTTTAGAGTACTCAAGTTTCAAAAGGTAGGGCTTTCCAAATTGAGTGTTCTTCAAGGCCACCAGGATTGTTACCACACATCTATTTTTTATGTATGGCTTTAAGTAGCCAATACCAAGACTAAGGAAAATCCCTAGGGTTTTCAGGCTTTAATTCTGAAATGTAACACCAAACTAAGACTGAAGAGATCTCCTATTCTTCCTACCCATATTCTGACCTTCAACTATAACTTTCCATGTTAGGTTAGATCTAACAGATTCAGTTCCCTCTACAAAATTATGAGAGCTTTTGACATTTTGGCTAAGGATTATTTCTCATTTATACATTAGACCTCAACTGAGTCCCAGACAGACTCCTTCAGCTTAGTATTTTCCTAAATTGTGGTTTATTGTAGACAGCTTCAGAAGTAGATGCCACTGGGGAAACTAGTTTATGCTGTCATCAACTCAAGGACCTACACTTGTAAGCAAAGGACTGAGGTCAGGAGTTATGACCGTCAATTCTATAATTAAGTTGGAGGTACCTTCCAGGGTCTTTCAGGCATCTTAGGAGAGGATGGAATGCTATTTTAATTCTAGAAGTTTATCAGTCCTTAGAATAATAGGAATTTTTCCTATCGTGGGATCAAGATTAAGCTCAAGGGGCAGGGGATTTAGCTCAGTGGTTCTGCCACCTGCCTCACAAGCACAAGGACCTGAGTTCAATCCCTGGTACCAAAAAAAAAAAATTAAGTTCAAAATGTCTACTGATTCCAGGATTAATATGGAAGAACCCTGGGAAGTTCCCACATTTTCTAGTCCATTCTGAAAAGTAGACATGATGGGATAATAGAAAATGTGTAGCACTACTGATTAGATGACCAGCAGGATTATAGTCTCAAGTAATCTAACCGTTCATCACAACACTGTTCTCTGGTTGAATAATACAGGAATCAGTTTGTGGCCTTTCAGGATACAGCCTAGCAAAGTAGACTACAGTCAGGACAAAAACTCAAGACTACTCTGAGCTGGCATGCTTGGCAGGGAGACAGAGTCAAGGGCTACTGACTGAGCCAGTATAGCAGGGCTGTATAGGAACCCAGGGCTCAGCCCTAGAAGAACTATTGGATTTAATGAATCTAAGTTTTAGTACCAAACTCCACTGAAAGGAGCTGAGATTCATAGCATTTCTGTCCTCTCTCACAGTTGACTCAGAAACTAGAGCTACCTAGATTTGTGCGAGAGGATCATCAGCGTCTAGCTGTGAGTGGTTGGATAAGGCAGAAACTGACATTAGCCCAAAGAGGCTGTGGTCTTTAGTTGAACTCCACTTCCTCTTGAGCAGAGTGGACTCTCATCAAATGGAGAGGATAGAAGGAAGCAATCTGATGATAGGGGGAATGAAAGGCCTGGATCGGGATGTGCATTCCCTGATGGAAAGTATCAGGGTAGACAGGGAGAACAGAAGATTAGGAATTAAGGAGAGATTAGTACTCGTATAGTTAGAGATTATTTTTCTTAACTCTTAAAAAACTAGTTCTGTACAGCAGTATACCTCTAAATGAACTGCATATATACAAATTGTTCATGTCCTTTTAAAATTAGGTAATGTTGTTTTTTCTTTCTAGGAAATCAATCCTCCTGATAATATCGTTGACACAAAAAGTGACATCATATTCTTTCAGAGACGTGTTCCAGGACATGATGATAAGATGCAATTTGAGTCTTCATTGTATGAAGGATACTTTCTAGCTTGTCAAAAAGAGAAAGACTTTTACAAACTTATTTTGAAAAAAAAGGATGAATCTGGGGATAAATCTATAATGTTCACTGTCCAAAACAAAGACTAGACTATTAAAATTCTACAATTGAAACTTTTTGAGTTTTGTGTTTCTGAAAGACTTAAAGAGTTTATAAGCCTTATTGCAGTCCATTTTTTGTTGTTATAACAATATACATGAGGCTGGAAACTTATAGTTTTATTTTCTCATGATTCTAATGACTGGAGAGTCCAAACAGCATGGAGCCAGTACCCTGGTAGGGAACCCTGGCTGTCACAACATGGCAGAGAAGTAGAAGGGAACTAGACCTGTGCTGAAGGCTAAGCATATGGACTGGCCTCATTTTGTAACAACCCACTCTTGAGAGTCAAGTTGATCCAAACTTTCCAAGGTCAGGGCCCTCATGATCTAAACATTTCCCATAGGACCTCAACTCTTAAAGGTTTCACTCCTTTAGTATTGTTATACTGGGGACCAACACCTGAACCTTTGAAAAAAAAATCCCTATCCAAACCAAAGCAAGCCTATAGTCGTAGGGAAACAAAATTTAAAATTGTCTCAAAACACTTCATTAAAAAATGAGTAATGGGGGCCGGGGATTTAACTCAGTGGTTTCGCCTCCTGCTGTGCAAGCACAAGGACCTGAGTTCGATCCCTGGTACGAAAAAAAAAAAAGAGTAATGGGGCCAGAGATTTAGTTCAGTGTTTCTGGCGGCTGCCTCACAAGCACAAGGTCCTGAGTTCGATCCCTGGTACCAAAAAAAAAAAAGTAAGTGGGGCCTGGGGAGGTAGCTCAGTGATAGAGTACTTGCCTAGCATGTGTAAAGCCCTAGGTTCAGTTCCCATTATTAGAGAAAAAAAAAAAGGAAGGGTTGGAATAAACAGGCTGGAGGTGCCACAATGGGTAGCATGGGTGAGGCCATAGGTTTGATCCCTAGCACTCAAAAAACTAAAAAGAATATCTTTCACAAAATTGAATTATCCAAGTGTGAAAAACATTTATATAATTTGTAAAAAGCACATAGTTGGAAAACACATTTTACATTGTAATTTGCACATAGGATATACTCAATAGAATGATTTTGTGCTTTGGGGTTATTGATCCTAATGATGAAAGATGTTGATATTTGAATTCTATAGTTTTTAAGAATATCATTAAGTGGTAGTGCACAGGAAGCTGAGGCAGGAGAATCACTGTGAGTTTGAGCCCAGCCTGAAATGCATAGTGAGACCTTGTCTTAAAAAAGAAAAAAACTAAAACACAAAGAATATCATTAAAACCATTGAAAGTTTTATAAGGAACCCACTTCACTTGACTAGTTTGATTTGTTCCAAAGTCAGGATATCTTTTTTTTTTTTGGTACTGGGGATCGAACTCAGGTCCTTGCGCATGCACAGCAGGCTGTGAAACCACTGAGCTAAATCCACGCCCCCCCCCAGGCCCAAAACTTTGGGGGGGGGGCTACCGGGGATCGAACTCAGGTCCTTGTGCTTGAGAGGCAGGTGGCAGAACCACTGAGCTAAATCCCCAGCCCTTCAAGTCAGGATATCTTTAACACTCTGATCCTGCCTCAGACTTGGCTCATTTCTTCGTGCACCATGTCTGTGCGACCTACATGCTTCCTCTCCCTTAATCACCTAGCAGCCCTTTTGGTTATCAGATTGACCATCAAGGTTTGGTGCATTTGTTCAAGAAACCTTATTTTACTTAATAATGGTCCTAAAGTGCAACTGTGGAGATACTGGGAATTCAGATAAGCCAAAAGGAAACCATAAATGCTTTCTTAAGGTGAAAGAGTAAATGCTTTTTAATTTTTTTTTTTTTTGGTACCCGGGATTGAACTCAGGACCTTGCACTTTTGAGGCAGGCGCTGGAACCACTGAGCCAAATCCCTGGCACATAAAAGCTTTTTATATGTTATGTGTGTATAGAAAAAAGCATAGTATATGTGGGATTCAGTATTATGTAAGGTTTCAGGTATCCACTTGGGGTCTGGGAACCTATCTCCCATGCATAAGGGGGAACTACTGTTCTTTCATATAAACTTAGCAAAAGTCCAAGACTTGTGCACTGAAGATTTCAAACCATGTTTGGAAAATGATCTAAATAATTGGAGAGACAGTCCATGTTCAATACTGGTAAAATGGGAGTTCTCCCAAAATTGATTTATAGACTCAACTTGAGAAAGTTGGATGGGAGTTTGAGCTAATCATAACAAGATCTTAATAGAATTCTTTAAAAGATAATCACACAAAAGTAGAATCAAATTAAGCCAACTATTTTATGTCCTTTCCCTCTTTTAAATTGGCTAGAATCTGAAATCAGTGTTTATAACAAGGTTGTGTCTTAGAAAAATAGATCTATAAGCTTTGTCCTGATAAAATTGACATTCCTAAACTTTTTTCGTTGTTTTTCTTTGCTTTTTGGTTTTGGTTTTTTGCTTTTGAGACAGGGTCTTGCTATAGATATAGTTCAGGCTGGCCTTAAATGCCTGGCCCTAAACTTTTTATAATAAAGTAAAAGGTGATTAAGACAGCACATTATCTGACAACAGTTTTCGCTTTAGCTTTATCATTCCTGTACAAGAGTCCCGGACCTAGCCAGAGTTAGGAAACTGAAGCACTGAGTTGTGCCCTTTTGTTTTTGCTACCAGGGATTGAACTCAGATCCTTGTGCTTTCAAGGTAGGCAGTGGAACCACTGAGCTAAATTCCTGGCCCCTGTGCCCTTTTGTTTTGTAAGCTCTTTTATTCTTCCTTATATTTGACTCTGCATAATATAGTGTGGATATTTAAAGAGGCAGTGTGCCAGGTGTGGTGGCACACATCTTTAATCCCAGCACTCAGGAGGCTGAGGCAGGAAGATCACTGGAAGTTTGATGCCAGCCTGGGCTACATAGTGAGACCTTGTCTTAATTAATTAATTAATTAAAGAGGTACGTGAAGTGATAAAGAGAATAGGTTTGGGGGTCATACAATCTTATTTTGAATCTTGTGCCATAACCCAACACCTGTCTCTGAAGCAAAGTACACAAGAAATGTGTACATACTTGGACACAATCTCTCAGAAACTTGGTTTCCTTGAATATAAATGGAAGTTAAAATTTTTAATTTAATTTTTAAAAAACTTACCTTATGGGACAGTTGTGTAGATAAATGGGATAAGGTTCTCAGTAGCCTCTGGCACTGGAACATGGCAGATAGTATTTTTTTTCACTTCTCCATGTATGCACGACCCACTTCCACCTCAGCTCTTACACAAATGCATTTATCTCTCATAGAGAAACAGAGCTTTCTTTCCTACAAGAACTAACCACACCCTGCTTTATGTCATTTCTTTTCCTACAATGTGTAAACTCATTTCTCATTTTGAAGGAATGAAAACATTGCTGCTTTTCTATGATTCTTTCTGGCTCTTAGACATTTGTTGCTTCTTTCCTATCTTCTCTCAGCACATGGGCTTTATAATTGAAAAGTAATGTCAGGACATAAAAACATGTTTTGTTTTGCTTTTTGGTTTTCCAAACTTTAAGCCCTTGACTTTGTTGCACAAAAGAATTCCAAATTAGGCTAGTCCAGAAAATACCAATTCACAGTTTGAAATTTTTGCCAAAACTACTTAAAGCTGTCTTTAGCCTCATGGAATCCATATTACTGAAAAAAAATTTTACTCACAGCCACCAGCATGCTCAAACTTTAGTCTTTTATTTTTCCTCCAGTAGTGATGGGTTTGCTTATGGATGGCCCTTACCCTCATGGTGGACCTTACCTTTTGTCTTGGATCTAAATTCAGTGTATCTTGAAGAGAGGGGGATAAAAAGAATTAGGATTTGTTATATACATGTACCAACTCCCCATGGTGAATATAACCATTATGTATTGCAAACATGCCAATAAAAAGCTTCAAAATGTAAAAGATCTGAGGCCAGCTGTGCTGTTGCACATCTATAATCCCACCACTCAGGAGGCTGAAGAAGGAGAATTGCTGTGAATTCGAGGCTTGCCGGAGTTACATAGTGAGTTCAAGGACACCCTGGATTACATAATAAGACTCTCTCAACAAAATAAAACTGAAAAAAATCTGAAAAAAATTAATTCACTGTAGTTCACAGGGCTCAGTTCTGGAAACTAGAAAGTAAAAAAAGTTAAATCACATAAGCATTAGAAACATAAAATTTGGGACAAAACATGAGACTCCACCTGCCCCATATAGACCCTCAACAGATCTGCAATGGAAGCAATGAGTCTACAGTGACACATGGTCTGCACAGTATTTTCAAAATCATCAACTCATTTTTGGTAGCCTTTAATTTACAAAAAGAGCCAGGTTTGGTGGTACATGCCTATAATCCCAGCACTTTGCGGTGGCGGCGGGGGGGGGGGGG